AAAAATAATCCAGATTATGATCTGTTTGGCTTCCGATATTAGATATTTTTAACTGTCAATAAAGTTCAATGCAAGAAGAAGGGGGAAAACGATCGGGTTGTTTTCCATGCTAGAATCAAGGATGCAAAGATTAAAAAAAAAAAAAAAACACGCCATTCTGAGGACATGCCAACTGTCCATGTGTATCGACCCGTCATTCCTCCTAGATACTATGAGGGTTGAGAAACATTTGCACCTGACCCTTCGCTACATCCATTCTTGGATAGAACGTTTCTAGACCGCCTGAATGCATTTTACCTATTTTTCTCCTAATGTTCATTCTCCTGTGACCGAACTTAAAATATCAAAAATTTGGGCAAAAAGTTATATCGCCTATCTCCACGGGAGGTTTTACGTTTTGTTCCTATAGGAGAAGTTAGGATATGTTCTAGATAATTATTTATTGCGTGACGAAGTTTTTGATTCTTATACACATTCGTTTCTTCTTGAATTAAAAAGTATAAATAAAAGGGAAAGGACATTTTCATTAACTTTTTTTAGAAGGAGAATCGTAGCTTTATCCATTTTTTTTATCAAAAATGGAACTGTATTGTTTAATTTATAAATGTAATTTCTTGTTTGATATGTTAAAAGATATAAGAAATTAACTCCATCGTGCATTATTCTATCACAATACAGATAATTATTTTATATGTAATTAATAATTCCGATTATAAAATGTTTGGAAAATATTAACAGACATCTCAGTAAAATTAAAAGTTACTGAAAGTAATGAATTTTTCATTACTTAGCTTTATTTTGCAAGTTATATTAAATAGGAAATAAACCAAAACATTTTATAATTTGCTGTTCCTGATGCTGCTGAATATCGAGTGAGAGGAATGCAGCTTTATTAGTTTTCTTATAGATTTGTGATGTTTCAGAGATGCTATTTCATCTTGAACTTCATTTATCTTNCTTTAGTTTCTTCAACACATTCTAATCCTTCTTGGCAAGGACATTGGAACATATATACACCATCATCATCGTCATTGGGATTACATACTTTTCCTAATATAAATAAGAATAAACTTGTAGAAAAAGAATATAAAAATAGCGACGGAGCGTAACTGATGTTAAATTTTAATACTTTTGGAAATTTTTCAATAAATTTACGGTTGAATTTAGAAAAAATAATAAAAAAAAAGGGTAGTTTATCGTTTCCTGAACCATTTTGAAGACAATATCTCTTCTGTTGGAGCGAAACAAGCCGTTTCCGTGTTGGTCGATCTTAATAGTTACATCCAACGGTTGCCCCAAAGGCGGAAGCAAACCTTATTTGGTAGTCCATTCCTGATATCAAAAATACGTCCAGCTTATTGATTTTGTTTCTTGTGTTTATCCTGCTTTATCCCTAATTTCAAGCTATGTGGGTCGTTCTGTCTTTACCAGTTGACATAACTACGTTATGGAGTATTAAATTTGGAGGAAAACAAACTGCTGAATGAAAAAAAAAAAAAATAAATTCTAAAAATTTCGTGTGTGTGTAGTAAGAAATTTCATCATTTCAGGAAATAAATGACAAATGAATATTTTTGCTGTGTAAGTTTAGCATTGTCCTATACCTATTAGTCATATATGATGACGTTGTATACATAGCTTACTATAGCATGTTTAAAACGTGAAATATATTCATTAATAATTAAAAAATAATATTTTCGACGAATTACAAATTTATTAATTAAATAATATATGACAATTTTACATTTTCGCCTTTTTCCACTCTGGAATGTGTCCTGGGTGATGTCCGACCTGAAAGGGGCCTCCGTCATAGATCTAAAACATATTACAACTGTATTAATTTCTTCACAACTAAATATTTAGAATATTTTATCAGGAAAACACGATACGATTGTAATATATAAAATATCATAAATGCTTATAAATTATTAATTTACAAAACTTTAGAAATATAAAGCATTGTCTCGTTAAGATGTGAATTGAGTACGTTATACAGTATAAATATATAAGAAAATTTTAAAATAGTTTCTTTAAAATCTCTTATAAAATGAATCTTAACTGCGTAAAGTTCGATCCAAATAATTTATTACAGTATCGTGTATTAAATCATTGTTAATAATAGAAATATAATTTATTTTCATTGATATTTTTCTTTTATAATTGCACGCTTGATTAGAAGAGTTCTCAGGTATCAATTAAAAGTGCTTCGAAATTTCATCTGAAAAAAAGAAAATGCTACTTGATACCAAATTCTTTATGAAATACACACGCATGGTTGCTCCATAATTCTTAATAATCATTTCCTTATCCCCGGTAAACTTCTATTTGATATGTTATGGATAATTAACAAGATCGCACATTTTGTTAGCTAACTTTAAAATAAATCCATTTATATATATATATATATATATAGTAAAATAATTCGTGTTAAACATAAAACGAATTTCTTCCTCGTTAATTTTTCACCATTCTATAAAAGTTATATTAAATAATGAATATTAATAACTATAACGTTTAAAGATATTAAAATGAAAATTTGCATAAAGTAATAAAAAAAAAACCTTTGAAACCTTTATTGATTGGTACTGTACCTGCACGGTCTCCTGATAACTGCTTTCTACGATGGTGACTTTATATCACTTATTGATTAATGCTTATGTTCGCAGCAGTAGCCACCCAGGACCAGATAAACATTCCATTCGGGATTTTCGATTGTAATTCGTCCAATATTGCCTTTCACATTCGACTATAAATTAATTCGTTCCTTCCTTTCTATACTATATAGACTATATATTCTATTGTAACTCTTGGCTTATTGATGGTTACTTTATTCAGTACAGATACCGAGATAATTGATGATTCTATGTCATTTAACTGATAAGGTAGAGCGTCGGATTAATACAACTCACATAAATCACTAGCAGATGCATAGATCTTCTTCATACACCGATAGAACCTTATAATCATTATATTTTAAGTTTATTCTGAAATTCTAATGATTTATCCAATTGTTTTTACGATATATAATTTAAAGTTTCTAAAAATAACTATGTATTTTATTTGAACAGCCATACGTCGAGCTTTGAATGTTTCTTTCATCTTGTCAAATGTTCGAGTTAGAATGTTAAAACAATTCATCATCTTTTGTAACTGTTCTGTTTCCATTTGGAACGCGTAAAGCATTCTAAGTGGGAGATAAGTTAGTTTTTCTCTAGAAAGATAAAAATTCCATCTCTCCCAACCTAAAACTAAATTTAGAAAGGGCGCTGAAAAGTTTTACCTCTTCAAATGCAATCTTTGGTCTCTGAAAACATGCTCTATAAACTAAAGTAACAATATATTTTATTCGTTATATTATTTAATGTACGAATAAGCAGAAACATTTCACCACTGATAATTTTATTCATACGATTTCGATGTCATTTCTGTTTGAAATTCAATATCCTAACTGACGTCTGACAACTCGGAATTTAGGGTGGATCCACGCGACTTCTTAATTGATGATACAATCATCATTTGTAACTATAAAGTTTAAAGTTACCACGAAAGAAATAAAAAAAAAGATTCATTTAAATTAAGAAAGTTCAATGATTTTTATTGTCACCACCGGAAAAAATATAAAATAATTACATTTATTATTAGAGTAATATTTATAGATTGTGCGAAATGCGTTAAAATATAAATAAATAAATAAATTGCCAAGATGCACAAAGATTATTTTAAATTTGATCTCAGATCGCATAAGTTTGCATAACCTCAAATTTTCTATTGTCTAATACAATAATTTAACATCACAGTTTATTATATTAGAGTTTATAAAGTTTATTATATTAATATACGAAAGAAAGTAAATTTCTTTCGTATATTAATATAATAAACTCAAACAGATTTCATTTTATTTTTATAATAAAGGATATTATAGCAGCGATAAATAGTATTAGTTATAATTATTTCCAACAATACGTGATGGATACGAACGAACAGCCGAAACCACATCCCTCTACTCGGAATATCAACCGAGATCTCCATCAATGAGAGTGAGTCATTCACCCACCCAAAAGAGGCCACCACCCCTTCCGGGATGTAAAATTGGTCGGATCCCAGACTGCACACACACACACACACAACACACACAAAAAAAAAGAAGGTGGGGGGAGTAAAAGAAACTGGATGAAGGCTCGTGTCGATTCTACCCACAAGATAACCACATTTAATTCTAGAATCTTACTTATTGCCAGTCGGAGAGAAATTCCGTTAAGTGGCATCATACAAATTACGGTTGTAAAGAACGGTGCACGGTGTGAAGATGCGTTAAAGTTTTAGTTTGTGATGGAAGTTCTCTTCGGCATTTTAATCGATGTCGAATACGATAAAAAGAAACAGCGGGATATTATTAAATTGTAAAATGTTCACGCTGAGAAGGTGCTTGGCTTAATTAAGATGGCGTGTAACGTGTCTGAATTATTAAGTTTAAATTCGTTAACTCGTTTAAAAACATTTCATTTATAGAAAATTAAGTGAGATTTGTAAAATAAGTTCAGCATTTCGATTTAAAAAAATAAATCACCACGCGCTTTTATAACTATTTTTTTAGAGATTTATTTGCATGTCAAACTCGTGTTCGTTAAGAATGGTTAATAAAATAAAAGAATCGAGTGGTTTTTATTCATAAAAAAAAAAAACTCGAATGGATTTAATTAGGTCAATAACAACGTCTTCCTAGGGATACAAATAAGAAGAGACAAAGATTGAAAGAAGAAGAAGAAGAAGAAGAAAAAAAAGTAGACGAACGAGACGAGGAATCCTGTAATATATTAAAGAGAATGGCGCATGCAATCCGATTATTAACCGATTCCATTATCTTTTAAGCATTTCGTAAAGTATTCGGAATCGCATGAACCAGAACAAGTCTCCTTAGGGGTCTTAGTTACAATCTATCCCGGTCACGTGCCGGTGGCTTATTCCATTGGTCGCCGGTCCGTCACGTGATTGGAGCATTTTCCCAGTCAAGTGAAGCATCCACCATTTAGCCGAGCCGTAGAACGAGATTTTATGAACTAGTGGTGTGCGAATTGGGGACAACCACCCAACACACCAGGGTAAAAAAGGGTGCCAATCTGTCAACTGAGATAAAAGTTTATGCGACTCTAGTTAGAACAGCACTCCTCGCTCGATTGTGAACAAGAGATACCGGTGAGTCTATAATATATTTTACTTTATTCTTAAATTTTCTGTTTTCTATTATATTCTATAGTGTTACGTTAGAATATCTTAGTGTCTAGTTTCTAGAAATTTTAGAATATCCTGTTTTTTTTTTTTTTTTCTTTTCCCCCCGTATTTGTGTTGACCTATAGAGGTGACAAGGCCGGCTACCGACCTGTAGTTTAGGGGGGTTATTGATTTGTGTGTCCCTGCTGACTGTCAGTTTTGGAACAAAGCGTTGATTAAATTCGTAATATTCCACGTGTTATAAGAATTCCTCGAAATTCGTTACAAATATTCGTTTTGTGACACAGCTGTACTAGTCATGTGATCTCGCCACCACCTGTTCTTCCACATCAATCAGATATTAATCTGGTTTCTTTGCTTCTGTTTTATTATAAGCGTTGTTTTAATCTTAAATTATTTTAATGCTTTTTACATTTATTAATTAATCAAAACGTTTTCCTCGTTTCTACTTCCTCCGATTGTGTGTGTGTGTGTTCGTGACAGTAATTTAGTTACTTGCGCTTTTAAAACTTTCCAATATTCTCCTTATTAACGTAAAGTATTCATTTAATTATTTCATATTAATAAGTTAGACTTCGACTCTCTTTTGGTATATCAAGATTTATTGAGTAATTCGAGAATTTGATCTTTGTCTTTACATTTTGAATTATGAATTATTATTATTATTTTTTTTAATGTAATTCTAAACTAGTTTTTTTAGTTTTCGTATTTAAATTAATGAAAATTTGAATGCAGTCGTCGAAAGTTTAAGGTCAAGTTTTGAGTTTATTGAGCGTGCAGTTTATATTTATTGGCTTAACAAAAACTAACGAATGATATTCTAACCTTTTTTTTTTAAGTCTTCTTAGCAGTTGTTTAATTTGATAATTACTGTAATCTGTTTATGAAAGAGGGGAGAGAGCGAGTCCAGATTTAGACTTAGGATTCTCTTACATTTTTATTATTGTTGTTTCCCGGCCGGAAATTCTTACCCCGTCTGAATGTTTTTGTTTCTTAATTAAAGTTTCTACTTCGCAAAATTGTAAGGGGGAAAAACCATTTTAAAAAATAAAACTTTCTTTGAAGTCTATCGATTGTTCCAGTAAGCATGAAAAAAAAAATTATTTTTTTTTTCATTTATTTTTTTTGTAGCTATAAAAAAAAAAAGTCCCATCCAGTGTGTTTTTATATAAGGTATACTCGTTCCCTTAAAAAATTTGGGGGTCATAAATTATTGGTATTGTAACGATTGGGCAAATGTTGACAAGCATTTTCGGCTGTACTAGCCATTTGGATGTGCTAAAAATATCGTGTTACATTGGTATGCACCATGTTGTATTTTCTAAGAAGTGATGGGTCATCCTTCGCCATGTTTATTTCTACTCATTTTTATAGAAAATTTTATTTTTCTTTTATAAAAATGTGTAGATTCATTATAAACGATGATTCATTCATATTTTAAAACAATGCAACTAAGTATTTTTTGAATATATTTAAGTAATAATTTGAGTAGGAAACTTTACGATTAAAATAATAAGTTTTAGACTTATTTAAGGATATCCTGTTTCATAAAATGAAGTTTTTTTTTTTTTACTAAAAGGGAGTAATTTGGAAATATTCCTGTGTAACGAGTATCGAACATGACGAAAGACTGAATAGTGGAATTAGAAAATCGATTAGGAAATTTCCTGATGAATGTACCGTGCATAATTCAAATTTAGCCATCTATTTTTGTTAAAAGAAATTTTCTTTTTATATTAAAAAGTTACTTTAAGTCTTCCCTTTTTAGACTTCTTTTTTGCTTGGTGTGTATTAAGAGAAGTAGATGAATAGCTATTCTTTCGTTTTCTGAGTGTGAAAGACGAATGCGATCGATAGAAGCTTCACTTCTCTAATATCTTGAATGTCTGAACCAGACAAGGAAACAAAAGATTGTATGATTGAGATGGATAACTGAAGATAAGCCTATGTAAACAGTTTTATCTCCCCATTTTCTTCAGTTTATGATAAAAGGAATAGTTGAAATAGCATTGATTCTATTTGATGGTGTTAATTGTCAATTATTGGTCGACAGTGAATTTTTATATTTAGCATAAAATATTTGATACTGCTCATAAAATTGTTTGTTTATATATAGAATATATCTATTCGAGATAATAGATATCATTTTTCTTTTCAGTGAGCATGTCTATAAATCATAACAGTACCAATGGAGTTGGGGAACCGGGCCAGTTATGGCAAGTTGGTTTGGTCAATGGTCAGTATAAATACCTAACAGCCGAGTCATTCGGTTTTAAAGTGAACTCGAACGGAACGGCTCTGAAGAAAAAACAACTATGGACCTTGGAGATGCACGGAGAAGACGAAGCCATCAGTTTGAAAAGTCATCTTGGCAAGTATTTAGCAGTAGATCAATTCGGAAACGTCACCTGCGATTCGGAAGAGAAAGATCAAGGTACGAAATTTTCCATCACCGTTTCTGACGATGGTCGCTGGGGCTTGAGGAATGCCGTCCGAGGATACTTCTTAGGTGCCAGTAATGATAAATTAGTTTGTTCCGCCAAAGCACCCGGTCCGGCAGAATTATGGACCGTGCACCTGGCAGCCAGGCCTCAAGTGAATCTTCGATCCGTGGGAAGACGACGTTACGCGCGATTATCGACCGATATGGACGAGATTCAGGTGGACGCCAACACACCTTGGGGAGAGGATACTTTATTTACTTTAGAGTTTCACGATGGAAAGTATGCAATACATACTTGCACCAACCGTTACCTTCAGGCCGATGGAAAATTAGTAGAGGGTTGTAATTCCGAATGCCTTTTCAGCTTGGAATTTCATAGCGGCTTTCTGGCTCTCAGAGATAGCCAAAGAAGGTATTTGGCACCTATTGGTAGTAAGGCGGTTCTACGTACAAGATCTCAGACTGTTAGCAAAGATGAAATGTTTTCTTTGGAAGATTCCATTCCTCAAGCTGCTTTCGTTGCTTTTAACGGAAAATTTGTTTCTGTTAAACAAGGTAAGAACGTTACTTCGTTTATATATATCTAAATATTGCTTTTTCTTAATTATTATCTAATTAAATTAATTGGGTAATTAATTTAGAAGTAGTGCCTTGAGGAGAATTGTTGATGCCATTTTCCTTTTGGGACTAGATCTTAGGAAGGAGTTGCAATGAATTTAATTTTAAGAAATTACTGATTTTTTAAAAATTGCAATTTATCTTTACAAAAATTGACATTTATAGAGGCAGAAAATGGACATTTTGCTTCTGAAAATGATAGAAAATGCACCCTTTTTATAACGAGGAACGTAATCTACTTTTTTATTTTTATTACTGATACATTTCAAAAAATTAATATACAGTCGAACCTTCCAACAACTACCACCTCTTAACGGTGGTCATTTTTTCATTAACGTTTCTTTTTGACAAAAATGCATACAAAATGACAATAGTCCTTGCCGGAAACGGCCATTATAACTCATATTTTTAACCTCTCAGCAATGACCACTGACTTTAAAATGACGTGCAGAAAATAATAATGCACTTTTGTATGGAACAAGTCCTGTACAGTGTTCATCCTACCTCCCAATAACGGCCATTTTTACATTCTTGTCAGTGGCTGTTGTTCGGAAGTTGGACTGTATTTTTTGACGAAGTGTAGCTTACATTTTAAACTTTTTTACGTTTATAATCCTAATTAATTCCTAAAAGAGGTGATCATGAAATTCTGAGTAGGCGAGTTGTAAGTTGATAAATTCAACAAGGTGCCACATGCTGACGTAAACATCATATTCAACAGAAAATAGAAAGCCTCGGCGACAATTTAACTATATAAACTTTATTTCTACTATAAAATCTAACACCCACACACAAAAAAGATAAAAAAAAAATATACAAGATTTCGTTCTTATTTGAGTTCGAATCATTATCTTAAAATTAAATTTCTTCACGAGAATTAAAAGAAAAATACAAGATTTAGTTCTCATTCAGTCCAAAGATTCAGTAAAATCTAAAGAATTTTTTTAAGGGTTTTGAATGCTTGGCTTGATGGGATAAGACACTTTCGGGGAGGACTTTCTATGGGAAACTGACCATTATTTAGGTGTTAGACTCGTAAAAAACACGAAAAACTCTACTGGCCACTGGAAGGATAAGATCTCGAATGGATGGATTGTGGTATAAGGCAAAGCAAGACGTGGGTGATCTGACAAGGACCATATGACTCCTCTATTTAGGTATAAGACAGGTGAGGAAAACTCCATGTGGTCAGCCCATTCATCAAGGGTTTTATCCATGTTGCCACTGTTGGATAGGATGGTAACCTGAATGGCTACGTGGTTCTTCTTGAGTATAAACGAAAATTTTAATACATTATTCTCTGGTTAAATAAACAAAAATTCACTGTAAATGGACAGAAGGAAAAGAGAATATATCGTTTTTCTATATTATTTCAGCAATCAAACTATTACATGGCTCCATAAAAATCAAACCTCATATACATAAACAGGTACCTTAATGCTGTTCTCTCGAATTTATCAATAAATTTAATTATATTTAAAGAAAAATTAGTACAAAATTAGTGAGAAAGAAGCGGTGAAGCATGAAAGACGTGTGTTTTCTTAATATTCGATTCGTATGTAAAGTGTGAATTGGGTTGTGCTTGTTGCAATTCGATTTGTCTGCTAATGCGTTGATGAAAGCAGCTCTAACTCTAAATAGAAGGCAATTTAAACACTAGAATGTCAGCCAGTTGCTGTTGAACGAGTACAAGAGCATTGCAAATTAAGGTAAAATGCAAGTTTAAGATACACAAATGCCTATGATACGATTTTCATTCTCTTCCATTTTCCTCCACTGTTTACTTAATTTTAAGATGTTTTAATTGGTTTAATTTATAGACAATTAATATTATTAACTAATCAAATATTCGGTTATATTAATTTAAACTATATTTTAAAGAAATTTATATATTTTTTTCACTAAAATAGAAGAGTAAGACTGCGACACTCGCGTCGCTCACTAACTTGTCAATTTTATATTATAAAAAATTTTATATTAAAAATAAATACTTCAGTCTTGTTTATTCTTAAATTACTTCCTTAACTATTGCTTAGATTATTAAGCTATACAAAGCGAGATAATAGCTAAATAACCGATACGAAGCGATTCGTCGCGTGTGACGTAAACTTGTTTTATAATCAATGTTTAATTATTTTTAATAAAAAAAAAACGTTGTCATAGTATTTATACATAAAATATATTTGAATATTCTTTGCTTAAAATTAAGAATTGTTCTAAATATTAAGTTATTAAATTAGCGATGCGGCGATGCGACTATCGCGCGCGCCTAGTATAGCTGATTTAAAATGAGTTATTTGCAACATCTCATTTATGTATTAAATAAAACCACTATAACTACTAAAATTGTGTTTTTAAATACTTGAAATTATTTAAATAAAATATACAGTACATCATTTAGAGCTAAAATTAACTATTTTATACTANGGAAGTTTAACTATCTAATCTATTCCTGGAAGGAAGAACGGATATCCTTTCGAGAAAGCACTAGCAGTTTAGATTAGTTGGAATAATGAGAAAATAGTTGCCAGTATGGTCGTTACACTGCATTCGTTCTTTTGTCGAGTGTCACCTTTTGTCAAAGAAAATATTGTGCAATTGGTCTATGCGTCAGCGTTTGCACGCTTCGCTTAGACTTTTCTATGAGAATACAGTTTCATTTAGGTTCTTAGAAAACTGCTTCCCGTCTGTGTAAAAAAAAAAAAAGCCCATGGTTTTATGTAGCATTGCTAAAGAAAATCTATTTACTATTGTCTGTAGTTAGTTGAGTGTATATTGATTTAATTCACAAATAAACTAGTTATTGTGCCCGTTAGAGGTGTTGTGCGCTCTCGTGTTAAATTTATTTTCGTTGTTCGTAAACAAGTTTGTCACGTGAGTTAAACTCCGTGTTTATTTCCTGCTGTTTAATCGATTGCAAATGTTACGTTCATTTTTTTTAATAAAATCAAATGAAAATTATCTTCATATAGGTCGAGATTTTTAAATGTTGAACGCCAACGAGGATAGATATAAACAAGTTTTATATAAAAAAAAAATAATAATATTGACTGCTCTTGTACTTATCACATAGCAGGTTACACATCGGGTGTCCCATTAACCTGTCGAGTATCATTCATCTTCGGGTAATTTATATATATATATAAAAAGAAATCCGACAAATAAGTTCTAGACAGGAAGTTTTATAATTCGCTTGAGTAATTCCAATATAATCGAAAAATTGAAGGGCAAATAATTTTTATTTTTAGAAAAATTTCAAAGATGAATCGTTGAACTCTAAATTTTTCAAAAGTTGGTCAGTTGCGTTTCCGTAGACACCGCACCATTGTTAAGTGACACGTGATTGAATAGAGGCCCTCCCTTTTTTTTTTCTGTTAAATTCCGACACTCGAACTGTCAATATTTTTGAGAACGTCACATAAAGGGGCACTTCTTCTTAAGAAACTAGACTGGTTGACGAAAGAATTTGTCCTCTAGCTTATTATACAATGTTTTATCACCTTCCTACACACACTTTTTTTTTTTTATGGCTTTACAACAACTTGCAGAATTACAAGGAATTAACAGGATATAAATGACCTGTTATTTAAGTTGCTATTTAATGAACGTTAAAAATGTCGGATAGGAAGTGTATATTAATCATAAATGATGCGTTAGAAAAATATTAATTTTGACTGTTGAAATTACATAATGCAATGTACGTGAATTTTTCTCAGATAATAGAATGAATAACGTCAGCTTAACAATAGACAGATTTATACAATAGTTTCTTTTTTTTTTTATCTTCATCAGCAACATTCAGTAATATGAGCAACGTGATAGTGAAATAACTTGAATATAAAATTTATACAAATTGATACAATACATGCTGAACAAGTTATTTTCTTATCTTTTTAACGAATTATAATTCATAGAATTTATTTCATTTTCAGGAGTCGATTTAACTGCAAATCAAGAAGAAATCTCGGATCACGAAACATTCCAATTAGAATTCGATTATGGCACCAAAAGATGGTACATACGCACCATGCAGGATAAATATTGGACGTTGCAAAGCAGTGGAGGTATTCAGGCTAATGCGGATAAAGGGTATGTTTCTTTTAATTCAATTCCCTTCATTTTTTTCAGTTTTTATTAATGTAAAATTTATTTATTATTATTATTTTTTTTTATAGTTCTTCCAATAGCCTTTTTAATCTAATGTGGCAAGAAGATGGCACAGTGGGCTTCATAGCCAATAATGGTAAATACGTTGCCATCAAGAAGAGTGGTCATCTATTTGCAAATAGCGACAAAATGGAAGATATGGAGAAATTTCACTTTTTCCTAATGAACAGAGTCACACTGATATTGAAGTGTGAACAAGGATTTGTTGGTTATAAAAGTAGTTCTTCCATGAAGCTGGAATGCAACAAAGCTTCTTACGAAACAACATTCATCGAAAGAGATGACAAAAAAGGCATTTATTATTTCAAAGGTATTCTTTTTAAATATTGTTTATTGTATTTTAACATAATAAAGCTAATTATCATTTCTTTTTAAAACCTATTTTAACAATCTAGTACTAAAAGAATAGATATGCTCTTTTCACTAAAATTATCTTAAGTTCCAATGCTGTTATAGTACTAATTAAATACATTGCTATTGTTTAAACTTAATATTTAATCTATGGTAAAATTATTCGGACGAATTTTTTTTTTTTCATAGCATACTTTTCCGTTATAAATTCCTAAATTATCATAGTTTAAATAGAAATTAATGCTTTAAGATGATGAATTCTTCATTATTATATTCGAAGTATCGAGATAAGGTTTACAATTGACTTTAATTAAAATTTACCGTGTAATTCGATTTTATTTAAAAAAAATAATTTAAATATCATTTAATCTTAAATGTAACAATTGATGATTACATTTTTGAAAGGCGAAATTAATCTTAATTTAATCAAATAATTAGAACTGAACGTTAGCTGTAGCAAGAAAAATCGGATCAATGATCATTTCGATATTTATTATCTAGATTATTGACAAGAGGAAAAAAATAAATTTATTATTATTATTATCCCAAACGATAAAACGTAGAATTGTTTTTATAATGTGCAAATTCATTTTAATTCTTTTTTATAATTACTCGGCATTTGGGACGGGAAGAAGAAGAAGAAACGGTTCGATACAAATTACTCTTCGTAATACAGAAAAAATGCGTACATATACGGTTTCAAATTGTTGAAACTAACGAGGTTCATTAAATATAAAATTGCACATTTCTCTTCCTGTATTAAATCGAATTTTTGTACGATTTTCCCGTAGCCGAACAGACAATTATCTGTGATAGGTCTTGGCTGTTCTTTCTAATCTACAGTAAAATATTAATATATATATATATATCTACAGTTAGAATGACAGAATTTAGTAGCAAAATATAACACCCAAGTGTGCTCACTGATGCATATAGTTCTCGCATCGCTTGTTCTTTGCTTATTAGCGATCTTCAAGATCATCAAAGCATTAGGATACGGTCTGAAATTAAAAACAAAGTCAATCAAATCTTAATTTAGTCTGTGAAATGATTTAATTTATTTAAATTTTTCTCTCAATAGTTCTGAAATGTATTTTAGATTAAAAAATCTATTTGAATAGTTAAATAATAACTGAAAAAAATTTAAAAATAAATCATGCATAATTGAAAAAAAAAAAGGCAAAAGTTTTATAAATTAAAATAATTAGAAATGATAATTAAAGCGCAAAACTTATTCAAGCTTTGTTAACTTATGCAAATATTTGATAATTATACATTCTGCTAACTTAAATTACAATAATATTGACAAGTATTATGTGTGGCAAGTGAAGTGAGCCAAACAATACTTTAATGTGTGAGTGAACATTTTTGCTTGTTTTTTTTTTAATTCGTATAGAATTTTTTAAAATATTTCACAATTAAAATATATAATTATATACACGAATATTGCCTTTCATTCGTTATTCCTTATTCATCAAATAAGTTTTCATGCTGGGTGAAATGCAATAAACACTATTTCGTCAGTTCAATCTTTTGTGGATCCAAATATCAATTCTCATAATTGAGGTGTTCCTATTAAAAAAGGGTACCTGTTAAGTTAAATTTTGGTGTTTCTTTTTCTCGCGATGATTGTTATGAAGTGAGTAAAGTGTATATGTTAAATACACTTGAGTAAAGTGCATATTATAGCAAGGAAATGTAATATAACAAGTGAATATCCTTATCCATAAAAGCCTATTAGATACTAAAACACTTAATAAAAGGTGCAAGCAAGGCTTGACGATTTTAAATTTATTATTTAGTGTAGGGGAGCGAATTCCTTGATAGATTCGTGACTAATCTACAATGTAAGACCAGTCCTACTTGTTTATGATCGTACTGTCATAATTACAGCATTTATAAATTTATTAGAATCTGTATATATAATTAAGATTATTATATACGTATTATGACTTTTTTTTATATTTTTTTAGGGACCAATAATAAATACTGGAATGCTTCAGAAGACGGTACAATCACAGTAGATTCGGATACGAAGCAAGGTTTCTCCATTGAGCTGAGAGAACCGTCGAAGCTCTGCATCAAGACCATCCACGGCAATTACGTTGTGGCAGATAAAAACGGGGCCTTCAAAGTGAACGGAAACGGTTCGGCCACAGCCACTTTGTGGGAATATTAAGACGCGAGTCATTCCTGACGTTTATGGTGCTTTTATATAAACATAAATATATATTTTTGTCATGCCGGAGTCTCGCCATGTAAGTGCTGCTCGGTTGTTTAGGGTGTCTTCCGTAGATGACTGGCAATAGGTGATCGATTGATCCATATAAAAAAAAAAAAATAAATGACAGAAATGCATCTTGTAGTGTATACTCCAAAAAAAAAAAATGTGCAATGGATAGGATAGAGGAGGCACCGATTTTCCATTTTTGCCCTTCGAGAAATATATTTGTATTTTAAGAGTTGTTTAAAATTTGGATTTTTGCTATTTAACAATAATCTTGATTTTTTAAAAAATGGATTGATCGAAAACGCTTTTTGTACGAAATGTTCTTTCTACTATAGCATTTCAAACATATCATGTAACGAGTTCAAATATTAATAAACGTCCATTTGTGATATTTCATTTTGAAGAAGTCATTTTTACTTGGGTTTTTTTTAATTATAAAAATAAGATAATTATTTAAAATATTAATAATTTATTATAAGAAAACGTTGTAGGGTTTTACTAAAAATTTTACGTGTCTTACTCGTTTTTAGACAAATTTAGTTAAATATTATATTCGTCGCCGGAAATTTAGACAGGTGTTTACTTAAAAGGTATTAAAAATGAATTTTTTAAAGAATTGAGCTATTTGAATGGGAATTTTTTTAAAGTACTTTTTTTAGTTTTGCTTTTTACTAGCATAAATAAGTTATATACGAGCATTTTCCTTCAGATAATCTCGTAATGTTTTGTTAAATTATGTAGTAGTAATACAGTTTATAAATTCAGTATGACATTTTTCTTAAAATATCACCGTGGAAATAACTCTCAAAGCTGGGTTTGGTGTTTAAATATTGAACATCCTGTACGTGTTTAGTTCAAACATAAGTAGATTCTTTCATATAAAGCGTGTTTGGATATTTGTAATCATTCTAAATGATACAAAATTCGCATTAATAAACTCCCGACTTACACGTTTACCAAACAAATTTCAAGTGTATTAAATCGTTAACGGAACGAGTTTGACTATTGAGTAGGACAAAATGAGTTCGGCAGAACTAGTTTAAAAATGTCACGATTTGATTCGGCTACAAGATAATAAAAAAAAAGACCGTTCAAACTCGTTGTTGAACGTCATTGTTTTCTGACTGACATAATCTCTGACGAAACCGGATATACTTCTGTCGGTTTGTGTCTCTCTGCCCCTCATTTCCAAGACTCGACCGAGCTTTTAATAGTTTTACAAGTCCTTTTAACTTGCATGTAATTACAACAGTTTTCTAATTTTATGCTTACAATGATTAGTAATTACCATTAACACTAAAGACATACACACACCAAATTACTTAATACTTAACACGGTCACTACTACTACTACTAATTTTTTCTTCAATTTTAGTTCGAATCCAAGATTGTTTGTTTATGTAGCGAAGTTTAATCATAGTATAATCAAGTATCATGATCGAATTCAATTCCGTAAACATCGTACGAGAGAACAATGCTGTACGAGTCCGAGAGTGATACAAGGTTAGGTAAAAATGTGATTTATCATTAAAATCTGAATGAAAACAATTTGTGGCCTTCGCTTATGTTCTAAATACTGTGATTTTTATTTTACTTCGGTTCATTTCTTAATAATTTAGACTTGCTTAGACTATTTAATCATTAGAATATATTGTTCCACTCGCTTTTATTACTAAACAATTTCATTTTTTTTGTAACCACGTGACGAGGAATATTTTTAATAGAGATTTATATTGTCTGAATAAACAAATTTCCTGTAAGCTGGAGGAAAACGTTGAAATATAAGCTATTGTAATATTTTTCATACACTTTTAAACAATAATTACTGATTTAATTGAAGATATGTGTATAATTTGTACACCTATAGTCTATTTATATCGTTAAAAATTCGATTTACCGAAAATGTATATAAATTTAAGATCGTTCAAATTCCGTATACAAACGAACTGTAACTGTCATGGTGGTCGCCATCTTTAATATTTTTTATCCGATCCAAACGATCCTACCCTCCACTCGGATTAGTTTGATCGCGATCCTATACAAATGAACTATCTGATCAATCACTATCCGCATTTACAAACGCTATCTAGGATCGACTTGATCGCGATCAAACTAATCCGAATGGAGGATAGGATCGTTTGAATCCGATAAAAAATATTAAAGATGACAACCTCCATGATTAAAGTCAAGCTTATAGTTGACAACAAAGAAATATGTTTAACTGTCAATGAAAAATATTTAAAACTTAGTAAATGGTAAGTAAAGACATTATTAAAATATCCGATAAACTGAGATGAAAAAATAAGTATTAAAAGAGATTGTATGGCGTACACTCTCCCATTTTGCCATTATGTGAGCAGTTTTATTCACGGAGGAAATACAATTGATCTTACTTGTATACTTTCCGCCAACTCTCACTCACGGAAGCGATTCGTATCACGTGACAAAAAATGATCCGATCTTGCAGATCGATCCAACTGAAACGAAAAGGATAAGCACCCCAGATTAATTAAGAACTTTTTTAAGATCGTGAAATCGGACAGGCTTACAATGAGGTGGCCGGATGTTGAGAAATGGGGCCCGACATATCTGGGCACATTTCAACCATCCGAATTAGATTTCGGATCCCCAGAGTAGGCTGACGCCTTGACCATCCAGTCGGCACCTGGCGCATGATTAAACAGTTCCGATTAGTTACAGTAGCGGAAAGAATAGTTGATAAAATTAACTACCAAATTGTTAGTTATAAATAGTTTATACTTTCAAAGAAATTACACACTAATAAAATATATCTACCTCAATAATAAATAAATATATAAATAACGAAGTCTGTAACTGCTATTAAGCGTGGTTAAGCGACTCTTAAAGATGCATGACATAAGGAGGTCCAGATCACATCCTGGACACCGCTTCCACGGAATAGAATAAATGAGAACTTTTTAAATGAATCTTATGTAAAAAATATATTAATACTTTCCCATCTCTGTTATATACAACAGAAGGAAAGTATGGTGATTGGTCAAAAAATGACTCCCAAAGGTTTTTACATTTTTGGACTTGGGACCTTGAAACGTCGAGAAATTTTAAAAAATTCAATTTTTTTTCTGTATGTATGGATGTTTGTGTGTGTGTCTGTGTGTTGCACGATTTTGTTCACCATCTTTAAAGCTTAATAACTTGTGCTTTTTGTCGAAAATTTCTGAAATTTTGCTGGAGGTTTGCGTATTAGGGAATGATGCTATTAAATTTTGGTGGTTAAAGGTCGAGGGAATTTAGTGATAAAAGGGGTCGTGAGTAGGGTCGAACTTAATGACGATTTTATTCGTTATCAGCATTTACAATGTTTTATAAAGCTCAACCCTACCTTCAGAAATAAGCTTTTTGCTATTTTATAATAATTAAAAATATAAAAAGTTTTTAAAACAAAATGTCGTAACAGATGGCGCCACACGTAATTTAAATGTTACCGGGAAAGTTAAGCAACTTGTGGCTGCCCCCACCAGTGGGCGAGTGGTCTCCGTTGCCGCTCATCGTAGTGGTGACCAGACCCTAAAGACTGGGAGGTTCGTCGTGGGTTCGCGCCACGGTCGGACAGGCTGGCTGCTTGGAGTTTTCCGGGTTTTCTCCTTGCCTATAACGACTGAATAGGAGGCCAGTTCCCCATAAAAGTCCTCCCGGAAGGCATTTATTTCCCGCGCGTACGTATGGCTGTGCGATACAGCCGGCTAATCGGTCGCCTAGCGATCATACACAAACACAAGTCTACTCGGAGAAAGAGCCGACAATGAGCTATAATCTCCATATAAACACCATCGAAGAAGAAGAAAGAAAAAAAAAAAAAGAACTTGTGGCTGAATTTTCGAGTTATGTTGCCCTAACTAGGAACGATTAATTTTAAATAAACGTATACTGTTTATTTTAAACAGTTTTTACAGTTGATTTTTCCCGATTACTTTTTTCACGAACAGGAACTTTAAAATCGACTGTTCTATTCAATTAAAATACAATCAATGAACTCATATAAGATTTGGAGTTCTACACGAAAATCATCAGTACGGCAAGTGTTTTCAGGGTCCTCCTCTCACAGGTCCTGTCTCTGCCTTTCAATTTTGCATCCGAGTGACGATTTAATATTCTTAAGGCCGGCCAGCTTCAACTTGCAGGAATTCGAATTAACGGTGACGATAATGGCGGCCCGCTTTGTGGCAATCATCTTGTCCTGGGTTTCGTCGCTCTTAGACTTACCAACAGTCAGATGTTCAAGGTTAATATTCTTTTTGTTGGTAGGTTTGTAGAGAAATCAATCAATTGACACTAAGTAACAAATTGGACGGTTAGAATCACGTTTTGTTCTCATCATGCAGTAAAGGTAAAATAAAAACAGATTCTGGGCTCTAAAAGTTAACACATGGCGGGAGCTGCAGTTAATATTGGATAATCGTTTTGCTGAATTATCCGCCGTTCTGACGTGACTGTGGAGTGGAGAGGTTTTTGAGACAGTGGCTACATGAGGGCACACATACACAACAGGCAGACTCTCAATGCCTTAGGCAGACCACAGGTGATGATTGTCTGATTGTGGCACAAGTACTAAACAGGTGCAATGGCGTCTTTGTTCACCATCCAGAGACAGGTATAAGCCTGTCTCTGGATGGTGCCTTGCTACGTAACCCTACCATTGACAGACGACTACCAGAATGTTTATTGTTGAGCGGCATACTGCCTCCCATTGCTGGTGTGCTTGATTAGAGTGTATCTTATATGACAGTCATTTATCCCTGATACTGTAGTGCTGTGAGGAACATTAACGGCATAGTAGTACGTTCAGAAAATCCTGCGCTCTCATGTGTTGCCTTTTACAGTAAGGATGCAACAGCCATTTTCTCGAAAATAATGCTCAATTGCACGTAGCTAGGGTTCCCAGGAATGCTTGTGACATTGCTACCTTGTCTTATCTTGTATCGACTAGTTGGGCATGAGCTTCTAGGCTATATCGCCCCGTAGTAAAGTGTGACGAATTGAATTAATGTGTGATGGTCGTTACGCGGTCTTCTAAGGGTATTTCAGGCGTTACAGACTTGCAGAAAATCCGGAAAACGCCACATGCCTAGCCCATCCGGACGAGGCGCGAACCCACGAACAAACTCCAAGTGTTCAGGGAACGGAAACGCTTGGCCACTGGTGGGCCTAATTGCTATACTTCTCTGGCCCGATTTGTCGCTCATCGAACATTTGTGGGATCAGATGGAACGCTAGTTTTTCCATCTCTGAGAATAAAGCTTATGTTTACGCGGTTGTTCCTTTTAGCCGCTCCAGCAACTGCAACCAATTCCGTGTTTTAGTTACAGTATTTGGTAAGCTCTTCAGAACTATGCGCGAGTGCAACTACAATTTACAACAAACTAGTTTGTTTACTTCACGTGGCTGCAAGTGCTACACAATGAGAAGGATCGAGTATAGTGACGTGGAAAGATGGCAGCCTGCTAGAATACTGCTTTGGAAACTCGTTTCATCAAAGTGAATGAGCAATATGATTTTTTATGGAACGTGAATTCTATAGATTATCATTGTAAAGACATAAAAACAAGGATCGGAAAGAAATTAGTAAAAATGTAGGGATTGAAGGTAAGTTACTGTACATGTTTAAACAATTGTTTGCTTTGCTTCGGCTACTGTCTTGCTTTATCTGCATATAAGACTGTATTCTTATTAACAAAGAGTAAAGTTAGAATGCTCGCTTTTATTTATCAGGGAAGAGCAAGACTTTAAAAGGAGTCATTTACAATTGAAAATAGTATTGAATATTTCAACATGAATACATGCAAAAGCTGCTTAGCTACTGCAAAATAATTATAATAATACTATATTTTATGAATAAAAATGTCATTGTTTAATTAGAAATGACCTAATCAGAGGTTATATGCAGAGTACTGAAGCATTAGCCTTTGGAAGATTGCATCTTGCATGTAGGTCGCAGAATAATTTTTGAACAAAAGTTGAATCTTATATGCCGTAAAATACGATAGTTAAATAACTGAACAAAAATTTCCATCATTTTTCTACCGCAACACGTAAAATGAGATCAAAACAGTGTACAATCGATTATGACGTCATTGCCCTAACACGATTGGTTTATATTTTAGACGTCACTTACGATCTGTGCAACCGTGAGAGCACTGCAACAGCAACGGTTGTGGTTGTTGGAAATTTTCGAAATTGATTAACCGGTTTCAGTAAAAAGCGGTTTTTAAATATCATACGCCAAACCGACTTATTGCTGCTCCACCAAGAATTGGGAATTTGTCAGTAGTTCAAAAGGTTGGAAATCACTGTGATAGTCTAATTTCCATTTCGGACAAAAAAAAGAAGCAACTACTGTACTGTTATATTAATATTAATGTATATATTAATTCTTTCCGCTCTATGGGTCTTTTTTTAGCAAGTCCATTATGTATTCAGCTAGGCATACAATGGTGTCGGCAGGTTGGTGAGGAACGAGGTACGGACCACCTCCAGAAAAAATTCCTGCAATTTTTCGACCTGTCCGGATTTAATTCCGGGTCTTCCAGAGCATAGGCTACCACCCTAATCGCTCGGCCATCCGGACGTCTCCGGACAGATCTATTCCAGATACGTCGAGCCCTTCCTTAACTACTTGATCTGGCCGAATTCATGATGGACAAGGGATATGGTCTCATTCTGCACGCCGGAAATATGTAAATTTGAAAAATATATATATACATAATAGCATTTCATTTAAATTTCTTATGAATGTTTTATATAGTTATTATACTTAACTATACAAAAACAGCTAGAAAAACAAAAAATAACAAATTGTTCATTTTCTTACTTTCTAATTATAATTTTAAACTTGGAATAACTCTTTGTACGAGCGGCTTGCAAGAAGTCATGCTGGGAGAAAAATATATTGCCCGAAGGATGACAGGTTAATTTGTTTACGTGTTTATTGTATGTATGAATATAAATAAACGAAAATATTTATTTTAAAAATATTTATTTCTAAACATTTAACATTAATATAACGAGTTAATTGATACATATTTTTAAAAGATTTCCGATATATAATTTTAATAGGTAAGGTTGGCAACTTCCCCGGAAGGATCTCAAATTCTCATCCTGTAGGATGCCGTTGATGTGATACAGCTCGTAAGTTTATTTCTAATCGTCTTTAATCTAAGAATGTAATTAAAATATTTAAAATTCGTAATCTCTACAAAAAGGAGTTGACCCTGACGATGTCTGATTTGTGATGATTTTCACGGATTGTGTTCGTATTTTCATTTTTGACGATTGCAAATTTTGAACTTTTCTGCAAAAGCCGTTTACTTGAATGCGGTTATGTCGAAAAGTAATTGACATGGAAACGAAGTTTGTATTTGCATTTTGTATATACAGTAGAATCTAGTTTTAGCAGATGATGAAACAACGGATTTTTCCTCATGTCCCGCCAAATCAATGTAATTTTATCTCCATTTAGCTGATTTGTAACTTGAAATAACGGATTTTATTTCTAGCCTCCGTCTACTGCAAATATCACGTTTTTAAACGTTTAATTAATATTTGGATGTTTCTGCATACTGAATTAAAAAAAATAATTGCATGCAGAGCAAATTACACGCGCAATTTTCACGGTTTGCATTGCTAACTTTACAGCCGTGCATCGGCATCCTTCCGCATATTGATTGGTGGCGGGAAGCTGTCTCCAACTGTTATACTCAATGGGCACAAAAGTGCCGTCAAAACAAACGAGATGGATGAGTTTTGTAATAAATTGTCAAGTGAGGTGCTAATGAGCATTGGTACTGTACCTTACTGTCCCTCTTTTTTGGACTTTCTGGTTTCTGTCGTCTTCTTGTACATACGTATGGCATAATATATGATCTTGTAACATATATTTTGAAATAAAGAGATCTTAAAAGACTAAATAGTTTCAAGTACCATTATTATATGTATGAAGATAGAAAATGGATATTTTCTTTGCTGTGCAAGAAATCCATTGTTTTGTGATATAATGCAGTACTGATATAATGGATAATTTTTCATGGCCTGAGCTATTCATTAAAATGAGATTCTACTGTAAAAGGACAAGGAACAGTAGTTCCTAGTTTGTTTTTTGATTTGAGCATTTTTTCTACTAAGTTTTCAAATGTTCAGTGTTCAAAGTTGAATAGCTCAAAATAACCCCTTTGATTTTGCACTTTTTCACATATTTTTTACTCACACTCTTATTTTACTGAATGACATAAATTGTCATTCAGTAGAACAAGGATACATTACTCAGGTTACTCAAACGGGTAGTGTATCCTAGTGCTTTTTTGCAATGTCATACAGCAAGGGAGCAAGCAATGGACTGGGTTACCAACTACCCTAGGTTGGTAACCCAGTCCATTGCTTGCTCCCTTGCTGTACAGGGACAGAGGAGTGGGAGATTTGAAAAAGAGTACGAGTACATTGTTAATTACCCACCAACACATGCAATATCAGACCCAGTGTCCTTTTAAACAGACATCAAGCACACCATAAGACTTTGTACAGGTAGCACACCAAAACTTTGACTTTACTTTTCTTTCTTAAATGAAAATTACCTCCACCAAACTTTGCCATTCAGTAGAACAAATGTATGAGTAAAAAATATATTAAAATAAGTGAAATTGAAGGGACTGTTTTTAGATATTCAGCTTTGAATATTGAATATTTTAAAACTTAATACAAAAAAATGTTCAAATCAAAAAACAAACTGAACTATTGTTCCCTGCCCCTTTATCTATAAAATGAAAGAAACTGCATTTCCATATCATACTTACTTTTCAAGATACATGTGTTCTAGTAAATGGTTTTCCCAAAAAGTTCAAAACTGGAAACTATTAAAAAAAATCAAAAATGAAAATTTTGCAGAATGCTTTGGTGGGGCTACATATGAGTGCAAAATAAATCCACTCTGAAAATCATCAAAATTGGGCATCATGAGGATCAACTCTTGCCTGAACTGATATGGGATAAGCTATATCTTAACATTAAGTATGTAATATTATGAATAATCAGTTAAGCAGACCAAAACATATATACTGTATATGCTTTATTTGGTTAGTGCTTTGATGAAAAACCTTGTGTTTAAGCCTGATTGTAACTTTGGTTATGCACAATTTCCAGCAGATGATGATGATGAAATAATACTTTTTCAATGGGAAAATTCTTTCCCAAAAGTTCTTGAAAACAGAAGCAAGTAGAAACAAACAATTTTTTGCATTTGAATATATTTATTTCTATTAACATACAGTCCAGAATTTTGAGTGTAAAATTTGTTAATTTTCTACTGATTTTTAAAACAAAGAAATTAATGAATTAAGTTTTCAAAATTCTGAACTATGCATTAATAGAAGTAAATAGGGTTCTATGAAGGAAAAAAGACTTTTTTTCTCTACTGTTTTCAAGAATTTTTGAAAAAGGGTTTTTCCATGATGCATATCCAAAATCTCAACATTCATCCAGCACCTCTCAGCACCTCTATTGAAAATCTCAGATAACTTCCTGCTTCCTGGTTGCTGGAAGTACACTTTTGGTGCTCAATACACCAGCAAACAAGATGGCAGTCACTATGAGGCTTGTAAGAGATTATTTTGCATTGAAAATTTTGAATTTAATTTATTTGTTGATGAATAAACCCTGAATAAATTAAAATTTCGTTAGTACACTAATAGAATATTTTAATATACCAGTATTTTTATCTCCTGAAATTCCCAGCAGTCAGCATTTGTGTTCTCCAAAAAAATGCTAGAACTTGTATCACTTCCAGCAGCATCTCACTGGATTGATGCTGAGATTTTAAATATGCCCATAGAAAAAGCATTACATTTTTAATAACAGCTGCTGGAGATGGCATGCATAATCAATGAGGATGACCACAGAGATGCATAATCATCCTTAATACAATTTGTCTATTGAGAGATTTATGGTAAGAAGTATTGTATTTAGTTCATATTGTATAAATGGTGTCCACAAGTTTCCAGAACAAGTTTTTGAATTCTGCCACGCAAGGATGTATGTCTTGGCATCCATTAAGATACTGCTAATTGTTAGTGTAGATATTCAATTTTTAGTTTTTTATTGGTGACATGCTTTATAAAACCAGTTCAGGAGAGATTGTGCAGTGGTTGGCTACCATAATGGCCAGAGTATTTTTTATAAGTGATTTGAAGCTGTATGCAAAAACATGATGCATCAAAATTGTCCATGTATTCAACTGTTCCAGTTGCATTCATTTCCATGTAATGTAATGAAAATTTAAGAAGAAAATTTAATAGGTAATCAGCCATGCTTGCACAATACCTCCAGCTAAATAACTGCCATTATAAGACACATAAGTCCATACAGAATGATTACTTGCATATAGTGTTTGTGATGGCTTTATATTTGTCTTAAGGAGTGTTTTGTGACAATTTATTAATTCATTAAAATTTTACCTACTTTTACCATTTGAAAAATAATTATAAGAATAGACTCCTATAATTAAGCATTTCTTGGTACTTTCAATAAGATATTCAATATATTGATCAAATATAGCTGGACATTCTGAACATGGCATTCTCTCATCATTATTCCACAATTTATAGTACTAATTGATGAAAATAAATTAGAAGATACAAGTTTGTAGAAGTAACTTTGCAAAAATTCAAAAATTTTGCAATAGACCAATTCTATGATAGTGATATAAATATTTCCTGATAGATAATAACAATGGAATACAGTATTAATAAGATTACAGAAGCTAATTTTGCCAATTATTTTCTAGAAATAAAAAATAGGATTCAGGTTTTCTTAATTTTACTTTAAATTTTTCAGTTTTAAAAGATATTTCCCCCATGATGCATGTAGTATGCTTTTTTCTTTACATTAGAAATAATTTAAACTTGTGTAAAAATGATTGAAAATTCTTTCTTTAAAATTTAAAATATAAAAACCCTTGCAGTTACTAACAAAATGGGTTTTATGAACTAATTTCTGTTATTAATTTCAAAATCAATTGTATTCTCAATTCTATAGTTCTGTAGTTTCATAGTTCTTATGGTATCTTAATGGCAGTGCTACAGTATGGGAAAATACATGAACCTTCTGTGGAAACTTGTGGCTAGGCTACTTCGTTTTATATTAAAGATGTGAAATTCTTCATATGTAATAAATCATCATTATGTATTTATGTTGCAAGATTACTTTCTATTTTTGATTTTCTTATCAAATTACAATGTTGTCAATTATACAAAAATGAAAATATTATTCTAGAATATATCAAAACTAAGTACTTTTGATTAAACTGTGATAAATATGGTGCTATAATTGTAATATTATAATTATTAATATCACAATTTAACTACAATGTAAAATTATATACTTAAACTCTCATTTTAAATGAGGGTGACTTGATAACTAGAAAAGGTTGATTTTAGATTAAAATACAAAGGCTGAGAAATAAAAAAAAACAATTTGTAGAAACATGTCAGCAAAACTTTCAGCACTTTTCACTATTTATTCAGTTTTTATTCTCTTTATCACAATAATTGGTTTATAATAAGTATTATATAAAAAGTTAAGTATCTATAGAAAAAATTCCTTGTAGCATATAGTCCAGAAAATATGATTTTGGCATATTATTCACATTTATGAGAACTTTCAATTTGGCTTTCTCATACCAGAGTGGAAAAATCTTGGATGTCTACCACATTTTGAAACTAAATTTTGTATGCAGAAATTTAAAAAACAAATAATTTTTCATAATTAGAAATTTAAAGCTTTCATTGAAATTCTTGCACATTGACAATATTGAACTCAAAGAAAATATTGTTAGAGAATGGACAATTTCTAAAAATCTGCCATACAAGCAAGCTTTGGGTTTTTGGTATTGGTTGTAAATGCATATTTGTGAATATAATACATTAAAGTTGTTATGTTATCTAAAAAAAAGGCAGGATTATTCTAGCTCTGGCTGATAACTGCTTCCATAGGCAGATTCTCTGTCCCAAAAGACAAAGTTGGCAACTATGAAATTGTCTAAAGTATAATTGAACTATGAAAATTTTTAAACTTTAGAAGTACAGTTTACTTCTAAACACGTGTTAATGAAAAAATATATATTTTTGAAAGATCAAATCTCA